ATGACATCCGCCAGCTCTCTCAGCACTCGTGGGTGCATTCCATCGGGGCCCATGGATTTGTGGACATCCAGATCGCTTAAGCGATCCCTCACACAGTCCTCCTCAACCAAGGGAAAGTCGTTTTCTTTGTAGGCTTCTTCTCTTACCTCCGGGGCCTGGGATTCCTGAGGGCCAGTCTTAGCACTGAAGACTGAAGCAAAGAAGGCATTCAGTAGCTCTGCCTTCTCCGCATCCTCCGTCACCAGGACACCCGCCTCATTCAGCAGCGGCCCCACGTTGTCCCTAGCCTTCCTTTTGCTGCTGATGTAGTTGAAGAAGCCCTTCTTGTTGTTTTTGACATCCCTTGCCAGCTTCAATTCCAGGTGAGCCTTGGCCTTCCTCGTCGCATCCCTGCATGCTCTCACCACGTTTCTGTACTCTTCCCAAGTGGCCTGTCCCTCTTTCCACATTCCATGGACCTTTCTCTTCTGCCTGATCTCCGCTAGAAGCTCCTTGTTTAACCATGCAGGTCTCCTGCCTCCTTTGCTAAATTTCTTTCTCAGGGGGATGCATTGCTCCTGTGCATGGAAGAAGTGTTGTTTAAAGAGCGACCAGCACTCATGGACCCCCCTGCCTTCGAGAGCCCTGGCCCACGGGATTCCTCCCAGTAGCTCCTTGAAGAGGGCAAAGTCAGCCCTCCTGAGGTCCAGGGTTTTGATCCTGCTTATCGCCCTGCTTCCTCCACGCAGGATCCTGAACTCGACCATTTCATGGTCACTGCAGCCGAGTCTACCTCCAACCTTCACGTCCTCCACCAGTCCCTCCTTGTTTGTTAACACGAGGTCCAGCAGCGCGCCTTTCCTTGTTGGTTCCTCCACCACTTGCATCAGAAAGTTATCATCGATGCTCTGTAGGAACCTCCTGGATTGCGCCTGCCTAGCTGTATGGTCTTCCCAGCTGATGTCAGGGTGGTTGAAGTCCCCCATGAGAACCAGGGCCTGTGACTGTGAGGCTGCTTGCAGCTGCCTGTAGAAGGCTTCATCAACCTCCTCCTCCTGGTCGGGTGGCCTGTAGTATACACCCACCGTAATGTCACCCGTGTGAGCCTGTCCCTTAATTCTAACCCACAAGCTTTCAACTTGTTCCTCATTTGCCCCCAGGCCAAGCTCAATGCATTCCAGTTGCTCCCTCACATATAGAGCAACTCCCCCACCTCTCCTTGTTGGTCTGTCTTTCCTAAAGAGTCTGTAGCCATCTATGACAGCATGCCAGTCATGCGAGTTGTCCCACCACGTTTCTGTGATGGCGACCAAGTCGTAGCAGTCCTGCTGTATAATGGCTTCCAGCTCCTCCTGTTTATTGCCCATGCTACGTGCATTGGTGTAAACACACTTGAGCTGGGCTGTCAATCTCACCCCTGGCCTTGGCAGTCCAAGCCTAGGCTCATCCCTAGTGAGCTGGGCAATATCCCCTTCCCCTTTCAAACCTAGTTTAAAGCCCTCTCAATGAGCCCACCAGTTTCAGTCAGGCTCAGGAATGCACTGTTAGCAAAGACTGTGCAGAATGAACTTCATTAACGATGATATGTCTAATGCATTAGCTGGAGTAGAAATCTATTCCCTTTTGCATTCTTCATGGCCTTTGAGATAATTGCTATTCTATATAATCTTTTTATCAGAATAGGCTACAGCTTTAGAGCTAAGTATTGGTCCTTTTTCTGTGCATTTTAATTTATGTGTTTCCTGTCATTACCAATGGGCTAATATTTAAAACCATTTCCCATTGAGAAGAATAAAATCAGTGTGAGAAGAAGCAAAGTGCCCAGCTCGCTATTAATGAAGTGTCAAAAAGTGATACTGTTAACCAGTGGTTAGCAAGACACATACTGATCTAAAAAGGAGTTTATAGCACTGGGAGTAATAAAAAGAAATACAGCATAGTGTTCCAATAAAATTGACTAGAGTTTGCTCTTGTCAACTATTCATTTCTGTTCTTGTTTCCATTTTACATGTTTCTTCTTATCTCTCAAGAGACAGTGAGTAACTTGCAACAGGACAGAAAGATTCAGTCTAAAGCCCTCTGGCTGCTTACCCACAGCCCAGCAATAGTCAGAGCTTAGTATCTCAGGAACGAGCAGGAAGATAGCTGGGGCTGGTCCTATTTCCCTGAAAAGCCTCCCAGAACTTCCTTGTTGCAGGAGGAGGCAGCTGTGGTCAAAGGCGGCAGGGTCACAGAAATCATTACATTTCTGCCTCCTCCTGGAGCCCTCAGAAAAGCCTCATTTGTTCTCCGAGTGAGACAGGAGACATCTTTTGCAGAAACCACTTTCACTGCTTCCCAAACATGCATCTTGCTGTCTATTTCTATCTACTTCTGTTGCACACGAGGCACATGAGGAGGGCTTAATCTTGTTATCCTTGAATGGCACGGAGAAGCTCCCCAAACTGGTCAGATCAAACCCACATACTTCACTTGGCAGGATTTTTCTCTGCCAATGGCGGTACCTTATGTCCTGGCTTACATATGAGTAACATCTCTCTCAGTACTGTAGTGGTTCTGCGAGGCAGGTAATCACAAAATGTTAGCCTAGACATGTAACAACTGCAAAGAGAGCTTGCAGTGAGAAACACGTCCAGGGATCAGCCTCCAGTTTCTTTTATACTTATGTGCTACATGGCTTCTTTTCAGCAATGCCAGACGTTATTAATGAATGCTGCTCAGACTTTCACTTTTCTCTAGAGACCCTTTCATTGAAATTGCTAACTGCACTTTTGCAATGCCTTTTGTTACTGTACCGCACTGCAGAGCCAGAAAGAAACCTTTCAAGATAATTTTAATCAATAAAACCAAAGAAATGAGGGTATTCATTTGCCTGAATTTCTGCTGAGAATCTGAGATTTTACTGAATTCTGTCTAATGCAGGAAGAGATTATTAAAATTCATCCTAGTATTCTTTATTTTAAAAACACTAACATACTCTAAAATCAGAAGTGCTAGAAGGAATAATAATCAAGATGAAAAAACAAATGAAGCTGCTTAAAGGGTAGCAACTCCATTGTGTGCAAGAGTACTTGAAGCACGAATTCTGAATTGTCTGTAAATCTCATATAGCACTTCTGAAAATCTAGACTGTTTTATGTTTTATATGACTGTACAAAGTTACTCTAGGGATGGGACATAAGTGAAGAATCAAAGTGGAAAAATTGGCAGGTATCCCAAACATGCATACGTCCTATTGCCACTCATTCCACTGGTTTTGCAAAGTCTGCTAGGAAACGTAAATGTACAAATTTAGGAAAGCTCTGAGCTTTTGGATGGAAAATTTCAAGACTGAAAATGTGACATAACAGTCATGGAGCAACAATTTGTCCTCCAGCCAGAATTATATTTCTGTAAGGTTATGAGCTGAAGCTGCTAAACTAATGGTAACTGAATTAATTGCTTGGAAATACCAGGCATCAGTGAAGATGAACAGGAGCAAATCATTCAGCTCCCTGAAGTAGACTGTAACTGTAGCTAGTTTCCTTATGACATTCTGTCTATTTTCACTTGTATGCACATTCCTGAAATTTTCAGCTCAGTTTTGCATATTCTTTGGTGACTGTTAAAACACCAATTAAGAAATAATATCCGCAGTTTCAAAGGAGCAGGGCATTCACAACTTAAATTTGTTAGAGATCCAGGGAGAGATGCAAATCAGATCCAAAAGCCATGTGCATAAGAGGTTATGCCTCAGCTGAAATCTCTAGTCAAGTACAATTCATTACTTAAACTGCGTAGCCTCCAGGACGCAGTTGAGTCATGTCTACACAGTTTTGACTGCAAGTAGGTGAGCTTATTTTTGCCTGTATCTACCAATGTATGAATATCAATTAAATTCTGTGCTATATAACAGGTCTGACTGTAATATTTTTAATAAAATGTGAGCAAAACTGGTAAACTCAGTATAGTAATGAAAAGGCATTCATTTTGATGAGATGTGTAATACTACTTTTAGCCAAAAGTATCTTTAACTGTAAGTCTCTCTTCTGAGTTGGCCACTTTCAGAAGAATACAGGTAAGAAGCACGTCTGCAATTCACCTTTTTTTATCTGACGAAAATTCTGCTTCTGGCAGATGGGGTAGCATGTCACCAGCCTTCAGAATCAGGCTTGCACATTCTTTAAAAAAAAAATTGGTCTTTTACTTTCTTGTTTGTTTTTAGACCAGAGCCCAGCATTTTACATGTTTCTGAAGGCTCAGACCAGACTGCCCCCACTGTTATTCTCAGAAAAGCTCAGAAGGCTGTTCTCACAGCAGAAGGGAAATAAGCTTTCCAGATCTCTAGCACCAAATTCTGTATTTGAAAACAACCAACCAAACAAAACACTTAGGGAGTTAATTGTTCCAACTGCTCCTAAACCATTTGCAAAGTTCTCTTTGCCAGAAAACTTTACAGACTTTTAACTGAGAGCTGAAACTCTGAAGAGCAATGCAGATAGCATTAACACACGTGCTTCCCCACCAAAACACTGCACACACAATCTGGTAAGCAGTAACGTAGCCAGACTCCTTGGTACAATTTCAGTGTTCACTGCTATGTGGAGTAGCGGCTGCTCTGCACAACAAGGTGCTCAGGCAAACTAGGCAGTCAGATAAAGGCAAACAAACTCACTAGCGCTGAAGGATACAAACTTTTTCCACTAAAAACCAATTAGGTTTCAGGTTTGTAAGATTTTCACAGAATCATGGAAGAGTTGAGGATGGAAGGGATCCCTGGAGGTCATCTGATCCAATCCTCTGCTCATGCAGGGCTACCTGGAGCAAGTTGCCCAGATTTTATCATCATCATCTTACATCTCTCACTGTGGTGCCAGCAGCTCGAACTATTTGTGTCAGTCACACAGACACTCCCATTCCCTTGCACTCGGTGCAGTGAGATGCAGGTGGGCGGCCAACAGAGTTAGAGCTCCTGCTAGGGCTCCATCCTGTCGTGGCAGCAGTCACACTTACCTGACCTGGCTGCAAAAAGCTTCCACTGCCCACTCTCCCCTGCGCCGTCTAAGTTTCTGGATGTACAATATCAATGTATCTGGGTGTACACAGTAACCTGGGAAAAGCTCTTTGTAGTGTTTTGTATGATGACATTCTAATGCTGGAATAAACAGAGAAACCTCTCTTCTGACTCCAAATATGTCATTAAGTGGTTGCTGTTACTAGGTAATGTGACTTCATATCTGAATAGGGTCATAATTTTTACTTATTTGGAAACAACATTCTTTGAAATTACTGGGATACAACTTCATATGAAATGTCAATATTATCTTATAATTTACATTGTATTTAATTGTATTATTAATATTTCTAAAGTGAACTAATTTCTCTATTATATTAATATAGCAAGATTGTAATATGTCTTCATTATTCATTAAGCATATTCTTAATTAATGAGAATTTTAAATACAATTGTTTCCATTACAGATAAAGATTATAACAATCCTTGTTATTATTTTTAGTAGGATTGATTCGGACTTCGCTGTGCAGTTTATTGCCTATAAGCTACTTACAAACTGCTGACATGTTTAAGTATGTTTAAAAAGAGTGATTTACAGGGGTTTACATTCTTACCACATCTTTTTTCAGATTCATCTGAACCATCCAGGCAGTCCAACACTCCATCACAAAATAAATCTCTTCTAATGCAGACTCAGCTGAAATAATAAGGACAACAGCAATAACAGCACAGCAGTAATGCAGTTTCACTACAAAGGAAAAGTGACTTACCTCTGGTTACTCAAGCACAAATCAAATGAACCACTCCATTGTGTTTTACAAAACTGCATTTTTAGAATCCTGGAATGAAATATAACATACTAAAAAGATAAATTTGGCACAGAATGGAGAAAGTTCTCAGAAGTGACATATTTTTTGAAACTAAGCTTGAAGTAGGGCTGGAAGAAAATTCCCATGTATTCCCATTTCCTTTCTCTACCCAAATAAACTACTTTATGCAATATAATAAATGACATTTTCCAATTTCTTATGCTTGCATAACATGAGAAAACTATACTTCAGTTTAAAAAACAGTGAAAAATCTCTGGTTATAGTTGAATAATTTTAATTTAATTTCTTCAACACATCACAGTGTTGCACTTTGTCCCGTGCTAGAGTCTCATTGTCAAAATTTCTTATACAAGAAGGAAAAATATTAATTTGTAAGACTGATCCTGCAGTCTCTAGCCATTATTCCTTGATTTATTTTTTTCATAAAACTGTTAGTTCTGTAATCAGATTAAGTAAATATTTGTATGATATCATATTGTACGATATCAGCATAAGTGACAAATGCTGAAAATGGTTTGGATGTATTGCAGCATTTTAAAGTGCTTTACAAAACACTTTCAGTGTTAGAAATGCAGACTGTGTAAAGCATAAGAGCTTCCATTTTGCATCCAATTGGTAATTGAAGCAAAGCAAACATACTTTAGTCAAGTGTTGGAGGTGATGCAGTGCCAAAGAATGAGTAGCCACAGATGAGCAGAGATGAAACTGTGTATTCTAGACTCAGAACAAAAAAACAAACCAATGATCTAGGAATCTGTTTTGCACAAGACCAATATGCAAGAAAATATTTTTTGCATATGATATGATCAATTCTGGTCTTATTCTTCAACTCAGAAACTAAACAGCATTGCCACCTCCTGGATAGAAAGAAATTAAAGTTTTCTAGTAATACATATTGACTTTTTTTTTAAACAGTAAATTACCCTGAATTGCAATGTAATTGCTATACTCAACTGAAAAATGGCAGCAAATACATTAGACCCATTTGAAAAAGCTTATAAACGTCATATATATTTCACCATTTAATAAGGCTAGGGGAGGATTTCAAACATTCAGACAGCTTTGGCTTTCTGTCCATTGGAAGGCATGTGAGAGTTTGCTAACATTTGTTTGTTTTTTTTTTTTTTTTCAAAAAGTCCCAAGAAATAATAGGAAACAAAAATGAGCAGTCAGTATGCGTGTCAATACACACCAATGCACACAACATGTATACCATTTTTGTAGAATGTACAGTCTTAGAAGTCCCTTCTCTTTGAAGAGGTCTCCTTACTCAAATCAAAGGTAAACCCACATATCATGTATTTGTAGGAACAGAATGTGAGGACTGAATGATGCGAGAAGAGGCTGTACACAAACAATGTAATTGTAAGATCTCAGACTGTTTTGTGTAACGTCCCTGCTTCTCCCCATACCTAGTTACCTACCTGCAGTTGTTGAGGATCTACTTGTGGTGAGTTGTCCTGAACCTGGACAAACACAACCCAAGGTTAGAACTCAACTTGTTGCTCTCTGGAACCACCTCTGCAGTTGCTTGGGCAGAACTAAGGAGCAGCTAGTCTGCTTTTATATCTGCATTACTTGCTGTATCCCAAAACCCCAGCTTAGGTAATGATACAGTAACGCCAGCTTGAGTGGCTTGATCCTGAAGGTCAAATGTCATAATAAACATAAAAAAATAATGTGGAACCCAAATGTGTTTTAAATCTCATTCTTTTCACTCTAGTCACAAGCTTTTCAATAACTCCAAAATACTTTTGGGTGATTTTTTCTTTCTTTTTTTTTTTTTTCCCTTTAAACTAACAGCAGTGCTTTCTTGTCTTCTCCTTGTATGTAAAAGTTCTGACCTGAAGTTGGTGTCAGGGATCTTGTAATTAGACTCATGGGACCTGCTGAAACAAGATAAGTTACGACAACTTCAATATTAGTACTAAAATTTGTGTACATTTTCTTCTAAATAGCATTGCACAACAAATCTGTTATCGCAGTGTAAAGATAGGAGCCTCAAACCTATCTAGTATTTGTATATTTACATACAGGTATACATATATACCTCTAAGTATACAGATTTATACATGAACAAATGCCTAGGTACATGAATATATTTGTATTAGTCGTAGTAAACTGCAAAACATTCCGGAAAAATGGAATGCTGGTTTGTGATTGCTCCAACATAACTTGCACTTAGTGATGCTTTTAATAACAATCACTGAGGATACCCCTGGCATTTCCAGCTCCCAAATAGTCTTTTTTTTTTTTACATTTGAATTTGCATTAACTTCCCTGTTTATTATTTTTACTTTTTACATTAATACTCAAATATGAGAGTAGTATGGTGATGCCCTCAGCTGAAAAAGATTCCCATGTCTCTACATTTAATAGATCCTATCCCTTAGGTTTTAAGATGAAGGACCAGAAGGAATAGAGTGAGAGATGTAGTACGACCTTCTCTATAGTTTGTCATCTATCACTTTTGCTGGCAGAAGTTGCTGAACATTGGCCATCACAGACTTAGTTTTGTTAGATGTTCCTGCTGTCCCAGACCTACTAGTGCACAAACTTGCAAGAGGACTTCCTAACAATTTTCTAGCAAAATGTGCTGATTTAGCATACACTGTTAAACTAAGCTAGATCATTTTGTATTAAATGGATCACAGAGTGTTCTATGTCAGCAAATTTAAGGACACAGTTCCTCTGGCAGGTAGAGAGGAGAGCCCTGCAGAAGGTGCAGGGAGGGTGCAGCTGGATGGACTGTTCTCACACAGCTACATTCAAAGAAGGAAGATTCATTTGTAGCTTCACAGTAGTCCAAAGTGTTATATGCATATGTATCTACCTACATATCTGTCTATATTTTGTAAAGGATCACTATTTTGGAAGGAATGAAACATTCAGTAAAGCAATTATCAGGAAGCTATGTCTTGAAGGCTGTTGAAGAAACTTGGGGTTGTTACAGGCACTCCCCAATGTGCACGCACAAGTTGATAGGGAAAACCATGAAAGAAAAAGCACAGGACAGTGACAGAGGCATCAGTGGTATAGGCACAAATCATAAATGGTCAATTACTGTGTAATCTCACTAAAGTAACATGTGAGATGCTAAGGATGCTTTTAGGGTCTACAGGGCTCAAACCCAAGCATCCAGCAGATGTAAACATACCACATATGGTAAAACTTGGGTATATTGTGCAATTTGGACTGAAACAGAAAGAGGAAGAAAGCAACGAGCAGTGTTAGCAAAAATATAAAAATTACTCCAAGCAGACCCAAGATCAAGGGGGAAGGAATCCACATCAGGACATTATTCTCATTCGAGCCTGGAGTGCTGAGAACTCCTAACTCGCTTCCCCCTTCCTCTGGCACCTCCTCCATACCTCCTAATTTCTTCCTGAGGATGATCAGCAACATTGAACTTAGAACTCAGGGAGCATTGAGATAGCATATTAGAGGAAGGGACAGATAGGAGAAAATTTGTGTGCTAGCAGTTTTGACTATCATTGGGATTAAGCTGTAGTAATTGTAGACTTTGGACTATACGTGTTAGTAGGCCTGTAACTAGACTAATAATCACTGTTTCATTGTTAGGGCTGTAATTAGACTATCAATAAATACTTGGCTCTTATATTCATAGGTGCATTTCTTTAGCTCACATAATTGCGTGAAGTTCCTGGTCTGGTACCCTGCCCTGGAGAATTTGTATGTGATAATTTGTATGCAGTTTGTATGCAGCAACTCTACCTGCATCTAGTGCTACAACGCACCCACTGTATTATTCAGCTGTCTGACGGACTTTTGGCGGGTTTGTACTCAGTGAATTGTGAGACCAAGGAGTAGCGTCTGCTTCATACCTTCTCATCATAAGACTTCCAGTGATAGTGGAAGGAAAGTATCAGTCAGCATTGCTCAGTATATTGGTAACCACAGCAGGAGAATAGGTCTCCTCAGCTTCATCTACCTGCCTGAATCTGCGATAACTTCAGCTTGCGATTCGGGTTGTTGATAGAGACTCAACTTTCACTTTGATCCTCTAATTAAGATCTTAGAGCTTTTGTACAGACTTCAGATCACTGCTTTCTCAAATGGTCAGAAATGAGGAAAGGTGGCCAGCTATCACCGAATGGACCCTAGCAGTCAGTCCCAAACTGCAGGCAAGGCAGCTTTACTAAGTTATACCATCTGGACAGCAAGTCTTATGTTTCTTCATGTTGTATTGGCAACAAAAACTAATTTTTTTTTTAGTGAAAGATACTGACCTGATGAAGTTAAAGGCATCATTGTAGTAAGGTTTTCAGCAGCTACTGGAAGAAAGTAAGTTCATTATAAACTCCTTCTATAGCACAGTATCTAGTTTTATACAACTCAGAGAAAGAAAGGTTATAAAAAAGAAAACCAGCTGTGGCTACTTCTCTTTGAATCACTAGCAGTGTCCCCCTTCCCTTCTTTTGAACATCCCACCCTGTTCCCCACGTTTTCTCAAGCTCTATAATCTTCCTAAGGAATAAAGATCTGTATTAATCCCTTTCAATCCTCAATCCGTATTCATTGTCTTTCATGAAAAATGTCTTCATCTGGGAAATCTTTGTCTTGATACATTTTTCAGAACACCTGTGTCTTCTAGAAGACTATTTAGATGAGATAATCAAGTTAAAACTAACCTAGGGTAATTTGCAAGAAAGAAAGTTACTTTTAATTATTGTTAAAACTGTGATTTTAAGCAAGTCACATCTGTGTTGTAGTTCCCCCCTTCTCTGAAGCAGGAATAAGAATTCTCTTACAGAACATACTGAGATATAGGATGCAAAAGTGCCATATATGATTATCATTGTTAATTAGTTACAATTGTTATTTTATTGAAGCACTCCTGATAGAATGGATAGATGATATTTCACGTGAAAAGAGGCTTTTTAATGATCCACATCAAGAGAAGTTTAACTACTTCAAAGTTCATCAATAGATATACAACCCTGTAAAAAGCTCTTTATAATTTTCTTTGGTGGCATTTTTGAAGTATAATGAGCAATCACTTTCCACAGTGATGTGCAGTTATTTAGAACAACTTCTTATATGTGGGGCAAGTAGTAAAGAGAAACAAAAGATGTCAAGACTCTGAATTTAGCCTTTGAATATCTGAAGTACTTAGCAAAAAATGCACCTTTTAGAATAGAGTAAGAGACATTGCACACCAGATGTCCCACTCCTCCTAAAGCAATCAGTTGCTACTTAATAGTATCTCCAGTAGGTCTTCAAATGTCAGCTAATCAACTTCTACTTTAAAAGATTCAAATTACTTTTTATCCTCATCTTCAGTGAAGGTCTGTTTTGAAGCCTATTGAGGTAAAACCAAGGATTCCCATTGATCTTCTTGGGCTTTCACTTAGGTGTTGACAAATTTTCTAGCACTTACATAAAATCGCTATATATGTGTGTTTGCAGAATTTAAAACTATCTAGTCTTTAAAGCCACATTCCTTTTTTTTCCACTTCTGCTTTACTTAAGATTTAGAGGAATATGAAGTCAGTGCCTTGGGCGTAATTTTCCAGAAGCCACAGTCTGTATTCAGTTTGTTGTTCTGACTGACATCTTTTCAATAAATGAGTCTTCACTTACCATGAGGCTGAGCCCTTTTCCTTATTCTTCAGCAAAACAAAATGATAATTGCATTCACTTATGAAACTACACAGTCAGGGCTTAATTGCTTTGATTTGAGGGATAACGAAATTAAAAATGTTATGTTACACAAAAGAGATGAAATTGAGTGATTTTCACTAGAAAATGATTGCTTTGTCCTTTGCTCCCTCCTTAGTGAACATACAGAATGCTGCCTCATATTTCCTAGTTGACAAGGTTGTAAATCGTTCTTTCAGCTGATACTGAAAGTTCTGTAATGGGGAAGGAGGGCACCCACGACAATAAGTAACAATCCCTTTGCTGTTTGGAAGCCAAAGTTTTCATTCATGCTACCTGTAGTTCTCAAGGATTTATATAGCAAAAAAATGTTTGCTAGCATTACCTGTGACTTGTATGCTGTTCACATCAATTTTCAAATTCTGGGTAAGATTAGTTTTATCTGCGTTGATACCCAAAACCAGCTCATTTTTTATTTTCTCAACAGTTACCCTCTGGGTAAAATAAAGGTTGAAGATCACAACAACACTAGCAATACAAAACAAAGAAGGTGATTAGTTATGCAAGCTAATGAAGTAAATCCAACACATGACATCATCTTGACACTATATAATTTCAACACAGGTTCCATTTGCAAAGTCAGAGTATCTTTAAGTATTGGCTGGAAAAGATAACACATAAAGAAACATTGCTTAATTGTCAGATAGGTTTGAACCTTGAAGAAATAGGGTTTTTTCTTTATCTACTCATATTTTCACTGCTAAAACAGACAAAAAAAACATTCATATCAATTGCTGCAATGGAGCTGAATTGGAGCAAACTGAAGTAGAAACTTTATTGTTATTCAACACTAGTTTAAGTCCTAAAAAATTGATGGTCAACATTTATGTGTTATGAAAATTACATAATGTATTCATGCTTCAAAAATGTAATACTTCTATAAAGCAGACGTCATCTGTGGGTTCTGCATCTGTGAGGATCTGCTGTGTGACTGCCTGGATTCTCATAAGGAAACTGCAATGGCTGAAAGCAGAGATGTTTTGAAAACAGTGGTTAAACTACATTTAACTTCTATGGAGCGTGAAGTCTATCCAGAGTGTTGTCTGTTTGCTCTCTCCCATCCCTTCTAGATACTATTAATAAATTTTATATTTGTAGCTAGATTAAATTATTGTCAAAGTATGATACTTGCTAAAGTTAAATTCTTTCTCCATTTACTTAAATTTAGGTGCAAACTTTTTTATTCTTAAGCATTTGTACTACACAACTGCAAGTAACTCAGCAGTGCTTTTGTGATAAGGGGTGACATTTTGCTGAGCATAGTTTGCAGATTACAATATATTGAAATACTCTCCTCTTTAATTGCTTACGTGTTTCAGATATTCAGATAACCTCTAGGTCATGCTGAGCAAACAAAATCTTTTATTGCTATTGTTGTGACTCAGCAGTTTCAAAGGCGAAATAACAAGGACATTGCCCAAAGGTGTAAACACTTTTAAAACTGAAAGAGTCAACAAGAAAATTATTTCTGAGACAAACTAATATTTCAAAGTATTATTTCAAAGCAGAAATGGAGACAGATCCTTACTGATATATTAACAGTCAGATCCAGCATTCTCTGACATAAGATTTTCTGTGATTTCTGTGGTATTTGTGTCATGATATAGGGATGGATTTGTTTTTACCAAATAGAAATGTTTACAGTGCAGATATCTAGATTCCCATTGTAGCTGACGAAAAGAAATAAGCTGTTCTTTGGCACAATTCATCTCCTCCTAAAAAAGACATCTAACCTGACCATACGAGAAAACTCTAAAAACCCATCACTTACAAAGAGAGTCTTGAGCAACTAGCTCAGAGATGTCTCCATTTTTAATGTCTGGATTTTGATGAGGATGGTCCCATCCTATGTGCAGAAACTAAATTGTGCTGAATGGATCTACCTTCACAAGGACAAAAACCTGGAAGCGACCTACTCCTACCACTGTGTACTCCATTCCCTTGACGTTATAAAATCTTTCACAAAGTGGTCACACTCCACCTTTCTAGCTAATTAGGTTTGTGCCCTCATTATTCCAGTGAAAAGATTACTCTGATTCAAATCTGCTTCCCATTTTCAACATACGTGTATATATGGCTCGCTCATATCCATTTTTCTTTTGCAAGCACAGTCATTCAACTGAGCTATCTCCTCTGAATACTTGTCCACTTTATGTATTTACAGAAAAAAATTGTATCACAAGAACAGTTGATATCACAGAATCACAAAATTGCATCATCAGTTGTCATATAATATGCACTTATCTTTGTGATCTCATCTATAAGATGACTAATTTTATCATTAATTTCTCAAGGTCTTCCAGTTATTCTAGAGTCTTCATCTTTTATCCTCTGTTGATAATGTGAGATCTGCCTCCCCCAGTCTAAGCAGCTTTCCACAAGTAAGCTCAACACAAACTGATATCCTTTCCTTTCTAGCTAGTTTCCTACCTTATTCACTGTCCTTACCTTTCCCATTATTTTTTTCTGAATTGACAGTCCCAAGGACTGTTACTTTTTTTTTTCTTCTAATCCTAAAGGATGTTTTTGGAGGAAAGATATGTCATGAAGCTTCATACACTCTTTAGAGGGCCTTATCCAATCTCTAAAGATGCATTTTTTATTCACTGTTCACAGAAGAACTTTCTAAATTAACAGCATCATTGTCACTTGCCCATATTTTAAGTAAACTTTGTCATATGCAGTTACCCAGTCTCTGAATTTTCTAATCTTTCATCGCCGTCTTCAGATTTCCTGTAGGAAAAAAAAAAACAACCAACAAAAAACATTAAGACAAAACACAACAAACAAGCATATGATTCCCCTTGAGTTTATAATGTTGTGGATAGGATGGAAGTGTGTTCTGAAACTGTTTAATAACAGGAGATATTATTACATGTGTTTTGCTGAATCAGTGCCTTATTAAGAACAGTGCAGATGGAATTAACACTACAGTCCTCACTGCATGTACCGCACATTTTTGCCAGCTGGCCTTCAGTAGGACAACCAACATAATAGGATATTGAAAAATGAGGTCAAAGAAGCTTTAATAAATGAAGCAGTTCTTACTGTACCTATTTTTGGACTCTTCAGGACATACAGGGATGCAACACTAGCTGGTGTCAAATGACAGTCTTACATGCTAACACCCTAAGGAATATGAGTTAAGTGGATCCATTTCCATAGGGATGTATGAGTGTGTTTCCATCCATCTGAGCTCATGCCAGCAGATCTCTAACCTGAACTTTTTTCTAAATGGCAAGGGCCAGTAACCCTGCAAAACAGCACAACTAATAAGCCTTGAAAAAAAAAAAAAATTTCTGTAAAGTATAGAAGTTTTGTGAGTTGGTCTTAGGGCTCAGCATTACTGGTTTGATCAAGGCATGGACATACAGGAGTCCGAGAAGGAAGTTTGCCCAAGGAAACACACTGGTGTCAAACTTCCTACAGCAGCACTTGGAAGATGTAAGACATGAAAGGAATAATGTAGGATGTTCCTAAGGATCTTTTGAAAAGGAAGGTATTGGTAAGCACTCCTGAGAGAAATAGCTAAGTAAAGATTTTTGATGTTCATTTGCAAAGTGTAATGAAGCTGTACCTACTTGAACTGAGAAACTTCACATCTCTCAAATCTGTTTTTCAGATCGCTTGCTTGAAAGGCTTTTTGTATCTATATGGAAAAGAGAAATCTTGAACCAACACAATAATTAAAAATACACCTAGTTGCACACTGCATTCATGGTTTTAATACTAAATAATTGTTCCTTCTCAAATCTAGGATACAGTAGCACACTTTTTCTTTGATGCTTCACTGATTTTCACAGAGAAGGAATATATTGAGTTTTGACCAGGCTTAGGACCTGAAATATCTCATTTTGCAGGGAGGAAAAAGCCATTAACAGCAGATCATGTTAGGGAATTGATGTACCTACCGCATACTCTTGAATTAACCAGAGACCAATAGGTTCTTACCAATTGTTCAACATCGAAGGCAAGGATTTTGAAATCAGCTGATGATCTGTTTTGCAAAGCAGGAGTGAATGATGTCCCAGAAAGTATTTCAAATGTTCCCACGTAGCCATGAGCATTCCCATCTGCTTCAGCTAGATAATTAAAAATAAAATTCAATGTTTTGAATTATATAGAAATAAATGAAAAACATTACATCAGATTTTATACCACACAGATCATGAATACAATAACTTTTAGCTTTCTGATTTGCATTGTAATCAGAGATGTTTTGCCTAGTGCTGATTTTTAAAAATTGATAGACATTTTCAGTTTACAGTAGTTACAACTGTAAACATACTTTTGTGAATGCTATTTGTCCTTGGTTCTCATTACTTTAAATTCTGCTTCAAATGTTGTTTTCCAGCACCACTATGAATGGATAAATGGGACAATGATATATCCAGTTATGTCTAACGCAAGGGACAAAGATACATGGGAAGAAAGATAGTTAGGGAATTATGAGTTTTTTGTGTGTTCTGGATTAAAAATGTGAAGAATTACTACTTCACACTTTCTGTATTAAATGCTGTTCACTTTTCATATAAACGTATGTAGTTTCTGATGACACCACTGGAAACACTAGTGTGAGACTAGTTGAAGTGTTTTTGACGTGACCTTTCTTACCAATAGATGCATGAAATGATGGGATGATTTATGAGAAAACTAGATAACTGGACCTTAATGCAAATTTAATCTTAATTTTTAATATGTTACAGCATAAAGTATGCATAAAGCAGTTTGTTATACATTAAGAATATTTTCTCACTGTGTAACACACTGGAAATTTTCAGATAAGACCTGAATTAATGTGGTCGACTGACTGACAGAAAATGCCTTTTGCTTACCAGTTACAGTACCAGTGGTATTTTTAGGTTTTATTTGAAGGCATCGACATCCAAAATGAGTTTTAACACAAAATCAGATAACTACTAAATACTATAATAAACAGTTTGTGATGGAAGGCACAGCCTAATGACACCAGTTTGCTACTATCAACTAGTAACAGCACACCATTTTGAGCTTCTTTTAACTCAGTATTTCATTACAGCAATTGCAAATTTGTTTGAACAAATGTTTCTAAATAAAAAATGCCTTTTTTGTTATATATGTCAAATGTAATTTTTAGTATTTTTTATAATTATTATTTGCACATGATTAAATTCTTGCCTATTCATCTTCTAAAACCCATGTAATTAATTTAAAGCCTGTCTCTAACTAGATGCAAAAATACACCAGCATTACCTTTAAGCTCATTTTATTTTACTGGAATGTGATAGTAGTCTGGTAAGAGGGGAAGAAAGTCAGCAGTTAGAACAAGTTTTAAAATATGGAATGAAAAACAATAGGAACTAAAGGAATAAACATGAATGTTGGCGTGGGTTACGGATCTGTTGTAACGATGTGACCCCAATATGAGTATGATCGTTCACCTTTATTAGTCAGCAAAAACAAGGTTTATATAGCAAAACTATTACAGCATCTGAATGGTTAGCCCCCCGATCCATATATAGGCAAAACTACTGCAACTCGTTGTGATTGGTGCAGAGCTGCATCTTGAAGTGAAAACAGTACTGTGGCAGGAAACAACAACGTAGTAGGAAGGAAGTGACAGTGTGGCAGGAAACGGTGACGTTCCCCCTGCTGCAGTGTCCCGAGCTCGTCGCTCTGCCTTCCCAGCAGGGTTCCGTGTCGGCTGCTCCCAAGGCTCACTTCTGGATCGGAACCTGGGTTGCTCAACGCACCAAACTATGTCCCCTCTCATCCAGCCAGGACTCCACACATGAATATTCTGACAAAAAGGTTTTTTTTAAGAATATGGCTTACAGCTAGTTTAGTCTACATGTGTTTCAATACGAAACAGTATGCACTTTTGGTTAATGAAGGCACCAAATACTTCAATGTATCAGAATTATTTTTTCACCTACAAAAATCACTATGATGAAAAAATAAATTTCTTGAACCTTTTGCCTAACCTGTCTCTTTCACCCCATTTCAAAACATTTTTTTGCTATTAGCTGTGAGGGTTCCATAGACCTCAATACATTTCCGTTCAATCAAAAATCTAGATCACAGAAGGGCTGAGTTTGGAAGAGAGCTCTGGAGGTCACTTGGTTCCATCCCTCTGCTCAAGTGGGGCCACCTACAGCCAGTTGGCCAGAACCATATCCAGATAGCTTATGAGTATGTCCACAGACGGAGACTCCACAATCTCATCACTCCTTCACTAGAATCTCTCCAGTAACTCCACATACCTCATGTATTTGGGACCCTAGAGCTGGACACGGTATTCCAGGTGTGACCTTACCAGGGCACAATTAACATATATCCACAAGATCTTTAAAGCAAAATTTCAGTTACATTGGAAAATCATCCTACGTCGATTTTTAAATGTAGTTTACTTTGGGTATCAGTAGCTGGATTCTAACACATTCTGAGCATCGACTAAATACTAAGAATGACTTTATCTTAACTTTTCATAGGCCTGGGAGCTGACTGTCTAATGCAGGATATCTCTCACACCAATAAATAACTTTAAAATATTTTTTTTTTATAACAATGAGAAGATTCAAAGAGATATAGAATACCTTAAGCTCCCAAAGACTTCAGTAGATTATCAATGTCTTTCTGAGTCAAACCTCATACATAGAGAAAAAAGCAAAAATTCACAATTTGCCATATTACCTTCTCTAGTTGATGAATACAATTGAATAACCCAAGCTTCATAGCTTGGATTGCATTCCAGGGACCTATCACAAAGTATAAACCTTGAAAATTCCTTTCTATGGCTTCAGGACATGCTTCACGTGCTTGTATTTTTGCCTATTTTGTTCACATCAATTTCCAGGGGACAAGTGGAGGAAAACATAACCACCACCACCCTCGCCCCCAGCATTAAAAGCATAGCATGAAATATGAAATATAATTACAATGGCAACACCACTGGCTTCAAAGTCTGAATGTCTGCAGAAAAACTCCTGAAAAGGTTAAAGGTTGGCTGCTTACCTTGTTCTAACTCCTGGATGGATAACCATGAAAGTACAATGAGTCCAACACAAACACACACAAAAACTGCAAGCAGAGAAGCAAACATAATTTCATAGTTACTAAGAGGAACATATTTTTTTTCAGATGATTTTTTCAGCTTCATTTCTGTCTTGAAAGCTTGTATGAATTAAGGACTGACAAAAGACACAACCTGAAAGGGAGTGTAATAATCCACATGAACAGATATTTATAGGAGATGCTTGTAAATTAATTATACCATAAAACTTCACTGGCATAGGGTTTTACAACTTTCCTGAACAGTCATATTCATGCACAAGATATGCAAATACGAAGAAAAGAAATCTCTTCAGAAAGGAAACCCTTAATTTTAATCTCAGAAAAAAATAAGCAAAACCACAGAAATGTAACGTTGGTCACTGAATTTGCACTATTTCTTGTCATTTGACATTCTTATGTGAAAAAGAATATAAAAAATTATACAGTTTTTTTGGCAAATTTTCACAAATGCGGTTATGAGGACAACAGTGAAAGCCATATGTTTCATCAGTCTGCTTAAAATGTTTTCTTAAAAGTTATTTTATATATACAGGAAATGCTGGCAAGTGAGTTGTTTATTAATGCACCATAGTTCAGCAAAGTGTTCAGCACTGAAAGCTAATTCAGCACTACAAATTTAATCTGCATAAGGTGTGGTTCTTTGACTGTGTACCTGGAGAAGTAACCAGAGAGGACATTGTGAAATGTATGCTGGTTTTATATTTTCTTGCCAGGCATAAATGTGCCATGGGATTCAAGCCCCTGCTAAAGTGAAAGTATCATGGATGGTCAGCTCTGCATCCTTAATAAAGACAAACATAGAATCATAGAATCATAGAATCATAGAATGCTTTGGGTTGGCAGAGACCTTTAGAGGTCATGTAGCCCACCTCCCCTGCAGTGAGCAGGGATATCTTCAACTAGACCTGGTTGCTCAGAGCCCCATCCAACCTGGCCTTGGCTGTTTCCAGGGATGGGGCCTCCACGACCGCTCTGGGCAACCCGTTCCAGTGTTTCACCACCCTCGTGGTAAACAATTTCTTCCTTATATCCAATCTAAATCTACTCTCTTTTAGTGTAAAACCATTACTCCTTGTCCTATCGCAACAGACCCTGCTGAAAACATTTTCCCCATCTTCCCTATAGGCCCCCTTCAGGTACTGAAAGGCTGCTATAAGGTGTCCCTGGAGCCTTCTCTTCTCCAGGCTGAACAGCCCCAACTCTCTCAGCCTTTCCTCAGAGAGGTGTTCCAGCCCTCTGATCATTTTTGTGGCCCTCTGCTAGACCTGCTCCAACAGGCCCATGTCTTTTCTGTGCTGAGGGCTCCAGAGCTGGACTCCAGCTGGGGTCTCACCTGAGTGGAGTAGAGGGGCAGAATCACCTCCCTTGACCGTCTGGCCACACTTCTCTTGATGCAGCCCAAACAAACAAAGTACCATGCAGTCCAAAACTTTTTGTTACAAATTTAATCTGTCAAAACATTTAAGTAAATTAGCTCAGAATAGTAAAGTCATACTGATGTTATGTTTCATGTCCTGTGAGCTACAGGTTTTGATTCTGGATCAGAAGTTCTAAATCCAGATTCACCATACGACATTTCTTAGCTCTCCTTACAGAACTGGAGAATCTGAGCAAACCAGCCATATTCCCACCTGTACAAGGAAAGGGAAACTTGTTTGAGTCAATCTTTGGCATAGAAAGGCTCCATCTACCTGTAAATTGACAGAAATGGAGATCTTAAAAAAATTGGGAAGAAATCAAAAGGCTCAAAGTCAGACTCTTGTATGACGTAACAGTTCTCTGCCTAGTCTTTGAGCACTGAGATATTTGAAAGCATCTGCAACACCATTGATCAGATTTAAAGTACTCTAAAGCACAATCAGAATATTGGCTTGACAGTAGAATCCTTGATTTAGTGTATTATCATAACACAATGAAAGAAATTCAGTAATATTTCCCATTACTAACAATAAATACTTATTTACTTAAACCCAAAGTTTTTTAAACAAAATTCAGGGCAACTTAATCATATTGCCCTTACAGAACAAGAGTAAACTCAGTCTGTATTCTAGAAATGGATGAGATTGTTGAGTCATCATGCTAGATAAATTAGACTAAGAACATCTTTTGTATATATTGTGTACGACACACACATACATATGAAATGTGTGTATGTGTTCATGTATGTGTATAATTATGTGCAGATAAGATTAAATTTGTACTGATGAACACTTTGCTGAGCTGTGGCACAGTAGGATCTCTGTAACTATTTGTGATTATTCAGCAATAATTTTAATACCCCTCATTACAAGCTTTTTAAGTTTCTACGTTTTTCTGAATGCTCACTCTATCACAGAAGTTCAGACTACCTCGGAGTATCTCACTTTGCTCAGTTACACGTTAGGTTATTCCACATCTAGCAGAATTACATAATTACATGATAGTTGGACTGGGTGTGTGTGCCCGGTGGCTCGCAGGGTTCTGTGGGGGGTTCCTCTGTGAGGGGTTGGCAGGGGCCTGCCCCGTGCCGGACACAGCCGGTTCCAGCCTTCTCCAATGGCCCCCGCCCCCCCGCCGCTCTGGGGGCGGCCGGGGGGGTAAGGAAGGGCAAAACACTGCCCGGCAGCAAGGGGTGAGGGGAGAAGTGTGAGGAACAGCCCTGCGAGCCCCGAGGGGAGAGCGGGAGGAGGGGAGGAGGTGGCCCAGCAAGGACCCCCTGCAGCCCCTCAAAACACCATGACGGAGCAGGTAATTCTATGCAGCCCATGGAGAGACCACGGTGGTGTATGTACCCACACCGGAGCCATGGAGGACCTCACGCTGGAGCAGGTGGATATTTTGCGAAGGAACTGCAGATTGTGGAGTGCCCAGGCTGGAGAAGGTTTATCGTGAAGGACTGCAACCCACGGGAAGGATCCACACTGGAGCAGGGGAAGAATGTGAGGTGGAAGGAGCAGCAGAGAGGAGATGTTATGGACTGACCACAGTCCCCCAGTCCATATCCCCCTGTGCCAGTTGGGAATGGCAATAAATTAAATATTTTTCCCCAAGCTGAATCTATTTTGCCTGTGATGATAATCGGTGAGTGATCTCCCTTCCATCATCTTGACCTGTGATCTTTCCTTCACTGGATGGGCACCAGGAGCCAGCCAAGGTTAACTCACTGCAATCGTCCATGCTGCATGAAACTATACTAGTCTGTTCCTGTCTTATTCCTATTCAGAACTTTTTGTATCACAAAAAAGGAGTTTCGTGCAGATGGACTTTGGATTCCTCTGTCATATTTTGCATAATTTAACTATTTCTGTCATTGATGTTGTATACTAGTAAAAGACAAACATTATTACCCAAAGAAGTCACTGCATTTTAAATTTTGAATTTATGACTTAATGGTGAAGTGATTAACTGGAGGAAAAGTAAAAGTTGTGGGCATTTATAGTTCTTTTACCAGCACCTTGCATGTGATAGTCAAGTTGTATATGTACTCGTATACAATGATTGCAGTCTAGTCAAACTTAGCATGGGTAATCTCCAGTTGGAGTTGTGACTCTTACAGGTGAACTCTTTTGCTAAACAATTCTAGCTGACCACAAGGTCATGGTAGCAATGATTAATAGGCAAGCCCTGGACACTGAGCTGATAGTAATTAAGAGTGAGGTTTTCATTAATTTGTTTGTAACATATTTCAGTATGTACTACTATGAGCTGGTTAAGAAAGAGTATAAGAACCCATGATTTCACATATTCATTTTTAAATCTCCAGGACAGCAATTATATACACCCCTACCAGCTTGTCAGCCCCCAGCCAGTACTGGTACATAGTGTTATTCCATCCCAGATTCAGGACTTTGCAATTGTTGAACTTGGTGGAACTTTATGAGGTTTCTGTCAGGCCATTTCTATGTCTCTTCATGACAAGTACATCCTCTAACTGCAATCTTCCCTCTAGTCATTGGCTTCACTTGTTTCTACTCTTCTATTCCTCATTTAGTTACTTCTCTTCCTGTTCATTGTCCTTCTACAGTCTTAGCTGTATATTTTATCTTTGGATTGTAGCTCTAAATTTTATTTTTCACTTCTATTTCCTCTATAGACTCATAGGAGTCTTGGAAGGTGGACTTAGTTGGTTTGCTACATGAGGACACTGATGAATCGGTGTGATCCATTTACGAAAACAGTGAGCATTAACCGATGTTCCTACCAAATTAGAGAGAATGTCCATCTATTGCAGGTTGTGAGTATTCTCAGGTCATGAACAACCTGCAGCACATAAATTATTCACTGGAGAAAATAATATAAAATTAAAAATAATAAACCAGATTATTCAAAAAAATTGCAAATAGGAAGCTAATGAATGTTATTTTCTAAGCTCGTTTTATGATACTACTTGCAATCTGTATGAGAATACAATTATACCATGATTTAAAAATAGTTTAAATGGTAGAAAGGCAAACACTCTATTATTAACATTTTCAAAACCAGAGAAATACAGCAGTTTATTGAAGTCTTGATATTTTTTTTTTAATTATTACTATAGTCATATAAGTAAAATCTGAGATTAGGTCATTTTTAAAGAAATAGATCATTGCCATGGCAGAAGCCTACCAGATTCACAATTTAGTTTGTTTATATTGAATCCACATCTGCAGCTCCACAGGTTTTATAGCCTTATTGGGCTGCTTTTATTTTCTTGTTTAATCAGTCTCCAGCACAGAGTGAAAAGACTGTTGACATAGAAAGAAGTGGACGTTGTGTTCAGGTAACTCTTCTAATGCCCAGTCTATCACAAACATACCTAAAGGCTGACATTGCATTACTAGTTAGCTATCTGTGGGAAAATGTTTTGGTTACCCACACAGACTTGCCCTCCCCTTTCAAAATGAAATGTAAATCAGCTTTCTTACAGCAGCTTTTTTCAGATGTCTAAGTGATTTTTCCCTTTTGCTATGGAGACTTCCACAGAGGGAAGCAGAAAACCAGATCAATGGATCTGCAGTGAAAGTGCAGAAACAGACTATAAACTTATTTTTATTATTACATCACAAAAAG